GAAGTATCTTTCAAATTATGAAAACAAAATTTATGTACCAGAAAATTTACGAAGTTGTAGAAGGTTTTTAACGTCATTCAGATTTTCTCTAAATGGACTGTTAGAGTTATTAATGACATCGAATGATGGAATATATATGAGACTTTTTTCTACCTAACAAAACTTTAAACAGCATTGTAATATTGTCAGAGTGGATATCCGTTGAGATTGCCGTAATTTTAACCTTGGGATTCATGAGTACCATACTAAACGGCCTTCCGGTGATTCCAGGTTTTTAAAGGTGGTCTAGCTCAGATTGATAAATGGATTCAAGCATTGTCGTATTCGCCATAGTAGTTTGATTTCACATCATCAGAGAGATACACTCCATGTTTAACGCTATGCAACTCATCCAGTGTATGTAAATCTATCAGAAGTGTGACAAAACAGGAATCACATAGAAGACTTATCCTCATCATAAAATATGAAGTTAGTTGAACAACACAATTGAGATGGTAAATGACTGGAGTGTTTATTCATAGTTGGAGCAACACCATATATGAATCGACAACCAGAACATTTGCTTTCACTTCATCTTCTTTTTAGAAAAGTAGTAATAATTTGTAAAATGAGAATTTCACTCATCTTTGATGTTTGAGGGCAGGTGATTATCGGCCAAATAAACAACTTATTATTAGAAAGCGTTGTTGTTTTATTCTAACGAAGACTGATATTACACCCACAATACAGAGTAGAGAATACCATATTATTTGATTATTTGAGATGGAATGAGGTGATCAATGATAAACAAAGTATAATCATAGCTGATTCTATAAACAAAAAAGAGGTCAACACAAATATGTTTGTTCATTAGACAAACACGTTGTTTACAATGAGATTGAAGAAGTAATCAATATGACTTTGAATATTTTATTGAATATGACAGAAATGATAGAATTTGATGTTGTGTTGTATTCAATGTGATGAATGAGACAGAATTCTTAATCGTCTTGCAAATCTTATTCCTCAATGCATGCGATACACAGGTTTGTGGTGTTTGTATACATTAGTGATACCTTTGTACTTGAAGACTGTCCGATTTCTAATTCCGAATACATTACGTTTGTCTGTCCTCATCAATATAACTCAATCTCTATCAGGAAATATGGCTAGTGACTGTCAATGCAATCCATGATGCGCTTTTCTCCCTATTTCTGACTCGTCAGCTGGATATACCTGCATCCTAGAATTCATGTTCCCTCCGTGACTCCAACCCAGTATCGTTCGTTTCAAGCGGCATCGCGTTATTCACTTAGTTTGATATGTGTCTTGAATAATCGAAATCTACACAGACTGAATACTGTGATATTTTGCTATTCACTCATCATTTAAAAGTCTGGTTCACTCAACAATATGTTGAATGATACTTCGATTCCTGGAAACTTGTATCATTCGAAGAGTATTGGTGTTATGCAGCTAATGTGATTTAGAATCTTATTTTTTTTAATTTATTGTTATGGCTTAAATTGACATTGTTATTGTCATTACTGATTGATTTCTTTACTACTTATACAAATATCAGTAGCTTCAAACAGTGCATCAAAACACCATAGTTCAACACATAGTCTAATGCATACGAATGCTCAGATTAACTCAACTATACTATTAAGATGTCGTGTTCATCTTCAGATTGAGAATGATCTTGGGGAAAATGATTCAGAATATTAAGTGGAGTAGTGATGCATACAAGTCAGGAGTTTCTTCTTCATCATCATCAACCGCACCAGGAGCAGTTTGGCAAGCTATCAATCCAATATTTATTGCCAGTTCAGTTGAAAATCATTGTTGACTAGGTGAAAGACGGTTTTAGTATTTTAACAAGTGAAGAATTCTGAGTTGAAATGTATATGTAACATTCACCATTTTGATTATCATGAAGCTGTCCTTCCATTTAATTGATTTGTAACGATCACATTACAATTCACTTGATAAGATGATATTCAACATTACAAACTGTGATCAAATATTGAGATTATGAAGGGAAGATCTGTTACTCAGAAGGTTGATGTGGTATCTTTTGAACCGGTTCTTCAAAGCCAATCAATATTCATTTTCTCCTTATATACGTTCATTTTCAAATTACATTTTAAGTAGTGTTCAATTCAGTATTATCAATTCTGTATTAGACACATGATTCAATCAGTTACCTTTTGTTCTTATTAAAACAAATTGAATGTACTTGTTATAATGTTTGGTTTTCCACGTTTACACGTATGGAACGTTAATTTACCTTAGACAAATATCTACACCAGATTCCTTCCCAGTGTCTATTATTCTACAGAACTTCAACACAACTCAGATCAAGAACATGTGATTAGCGTGATTAAAACGTAAATATATTTCCACACCAAAAACTCGACACAATTCAACAACAAGGAACAATGAATAATAATAAATAATGATAAGGTTAGGGGAATATATAACTCAGCTGACACTTGTCAGACTATCTACATGACTTATTAAGCAAACAATCAATCATTATCATTCTCACCCACACATGACTACTTTAAATAATATTCATTCTTGATGAGTTCAAATAACAAATTCGAAACCTTACTTTACTAACTTCTAATTCTGTTATGTCCGTCAATTCGAATACTACTACTGATTCGTCTTACTCGGAACGAACGAAGAATCGAGGATTCAGAGACTCGATAGGCTATACTGATCCGTTGTCCCGACTCAGCTAACTCGATCCAGAAGTCTTGGTAAGATGTAGAAAGTGTATTATACAGACAAACAGAAGATACCAGGTGCATCAAGCACACAAATCAAGCGTATTTATACAAAATATATATAATCGATATTGCCATGGAAGTTTTTAAACATTTACTCAACACCCAATTTCTGTCAAACTATTCGTTCTAATATTGACGAATATTCGTATAAATTTGATCGATAAGTTCGTCAATCGACTATCTGCGTGGATGGTAAGAAATGCACAAGCATGGATCTGCATACAAGCTGCACAAAGATGAAATTACAAAATATGAGTTTTGGGAATCTAACGTCGCCGACAATTTTAATACCAAACTATCATAATTTTACGTTTGTATTGTGATATGTGCTACTGATATCGAGAGATATGAGTAGTATATATCATCAGTCGAAAGCGAAATACCTGGTGGTTGAAGGTGAGAATTACGAAGAAAAGGGAATGGGAATAGAGAATGATTGGTCGGAAACGAAGGACATGATGTCTAAGACAATTAATTGATACTATGCAAATGAAGTATTTACTATATGGTTCTCAGATACTACTACTAAGGCGTTCTGTAATTGTGTATTCAAATACATTTGATTGTCCCACTTGTGTTCTCATTCACTACAGTATTATTAAAAATTATTATCAATTACTTTCTTCATTAGAAATAGATGCATTTTGTACTTTGGTTCAATTGTCGACTAACCTTTACTCTTGTTTTATTTATTCTTCTATTTTCCAGCTTTTTATTTGTTTTCACATATGCTACTTTACATGATCTCTCAGTATCTAAATTACATTCAGATTAGATCGGAATCATTAGAGTCTATATAATATATTTTTTAAAATAATAATTTTTGGCGAGACTCTAATTTATGGACGAGCCAATCAGGAGTGTTTGATAGTTTTCAATATCACAGCGCCAATTCCAGTACGTGATGCTCACATACAATCGGTTTACAGCGGATTTTATAGAAGACGTGATAATTGAGCGGATACAACAAATAGGATTACAAAGAAGTTCCTTTATTTGTGACTGAGGCAATCAAATGAATTCTGTACTGTGTACAGACTGCCATAATGAAGTTGCCTTTCGATGTTGTTTATGTTGGAACAAGAAATGTGAAAGAACAGGAACTTTCGCCGCTCGATCGCGATTGAAATAAAGAAAATCATGATAATTGTTGCGAATTGGATAATAAAAGCGCCAGTAACACTGGCGGCAACATTTGCAGATGTTACTGAAGCTTTGGATGTTCAGTGGTATGAGTATTGTAGAGGTATATATGCAACAAAAACGACAAGCTTACGCGAGTCTTTTGGAGGGAGTTGAGAGAATCGTTGAAATAGACGATACAATAGTCAGGAAACGAAAATGTAACAGAAAACGTAGTATTAAAATAGACTGGGTAAGTAGCACTTCCATACATATACCTCAGAGGTCCTTGGAATTTACGACATATCATCTCAACAGGGACACTTCCAGCGGGTCAGAAACCGATAGGCAATGACAATAATACCAATTACACGGGAATATGTACAGCCAAGCACAACAATATATACAGAGGTTTGGAGAGCGTACAGGCGCCTATATAGAATTGGTTATGTGCATCGTGTCGTTGTCCACAAGCGGCATTTTGTGGATCCAACAACCGGAGTGCACACAAACAATAATGAAGTTATGTGGTCGAGGCCATAAGAGATTTTACAAGATTATCATGGCTCGAGAAGCCAACTATTATGGAGCCATATGGATAAGTTCCTCTACTGTATACATTACGATTTCAGAACTTCTGAACCTCTTTCTAACCTTGAAAAGTTTATAAATCATATAAAAGAAGTGTATCCACTTTAATTCTTTGGCTTTGTTTAGTATATATTTTACTCTATATTAACTGTTTTTTGATTGGCTAATAGTCTCGATACTATAATTACAGACGAACCAATCAGAAACGTCTGATGGATTTCAATGTCACGGCGCCAAATTCACCAGCTGATGCTTACATCCATAAATTATAGTTCTTGCCTAAATTCTTTTTAATCAATTGAAATATCAGAAATTTACATTGAAGCCAAAGAAATTTTTTTATAAAAAAATTACACAAGCGTTCAATATACAAATTTATATTGAACAATGATCATTGAAGTTAGATGAACAGAATAGAAAGATCAAAATAGAGTTTTAAGATTAATAATAAAAGAAGATCAATTCATGAAAAGGAGCATATTTTAAATCATTTCATTATTATTATCATCATTATTCTTCTTCTTCAGATCCTCCACTAATTTCAGATAGATTATCATTGATATCAACTCCATATGCTTGTAATTCTTCTTTATTTGGTTTAATATATTTACCATTATAGAATGATTGAATTTTAACTTGTTTTAATGTTTTATTTAAACAATCCATAATATTTGTATGTGGCATATGAGTTTTTAAACCTAAATTATCATATGTTAATATAAATGATTTTTGTTTAGATTGTTGCTGTGGTTGCTGTCGTTGCTGTGGTCGCTGTGGTCGCTGTTGTTGCTGTTGTTGCTGTGGTTGCTGTCGTTGTTGTTGTTGTTGTTGTTCAATGAATAATTTTAATGGTTCTATACAACGTTGAATATATTCATGTGTACCACGTGGATCATGTAATTCATATGAATGTGGTGATTCCCAAAATCTCAATTGATTTTCTGTGATATTGATTTTCTTTAATTTAATTTCATCTAATAACCATGTTATTGTATCTGGGGTAAACATTTCATTAAATGTTCGTTGAATTTTTTCTTTACGAATTAATTTCACTTTTTTCACTGTATTTGGATCAATAAAAACTTTAATTGCTTTCCATATACCATGAAAGAATGTACCATGATTAATTAATATAAATTTATATAAAGTTTCTGGATAACAATCAGCAAATGTTTGTACAAATTTCTTACCAATTTTTGGATTACAACAAGCAACCGTTAAACCTAATTGTGAATAAATGAGAAAAGACAAACAGACGAGAAATAAAACAAAATTTTGTCAATATAATCAAAGAGGGATTGAGGGTAGTCTTGTGGAGATGATAATTAGTTGAATAGTTGAATTCATGAGTGAATTGAAGTTAGATCGTTATGGAAATACTGGAAGTAGTGGACGGCTGTTTGGTTCTAGTATGAGATAGCACAATGGCAGTGTGCATCTTGTATGTGGGACTAGAATTCAAGGTGTTTGTTCTTGCACGCAAACCGTTAACCTATAAACCATTGTGTGACGACGGACCACGGGTGAACTTGAGGAAGCTGTAGGAGACTCAGAGAAAGCCGAAGATATTCCATCCAATTATCTTTTGGAAGAATACTCTAGAATCCTACGTGTAGCTTCCCGATTGGACAATGTTATTGACCTCCTTTATCCGGACTGGTGAACTGTAATGATGATTTCGTTCTTACTAAAACTATAAATACCTGATAATTTTTTACCATAATTAACACTGTCTGGAATAATATTCCATTCATTAGTCTCCTGTCTTCTCATTGCGACTTGGAAGCGTTCTGGCGTTCTACTGCTCACGTTATATGCGGTATATCATAAACAACCTTCCAGATACAACACATTGAGATGGGTTCAGGTTTCGCGTGTAGGATCATGGATGCACATCGCTGAGGAGTCCTATACTAGGACGAAATAGCTGTAGAGTGCTTCTAAGTTTTCATTAGTGGTCTACCTGTGATCGACTTATGAATTCAACTATTAGAATTATTAGCATCTCTACAAAATCTCCATTACGATTTTATTGATTTGCAAAATCACAAAATCATCTTCTGTCCCATACTAAAACGAAATGGAGATGACAACAAACGAAGCATCATTAACTCTTTGAAAATGTGATCACATTAAACGGAATACCCTAAATTATAAACTGATTTTACACAAACTTGATAATTAGTTAATGAATATCACATCAAACTGACAAAAATTATATTGGAAGGGGATTTCGATGAGATTTTAGTAATTTTTAATAGTTGAATTCATTAGCCAAATGAACCTAGACCATCATGGAAAATCTGGAAGCACTGGACAGCTGTTTCGTTCTAGCATGGCATACCTCAGTGGCAGTGCACATCCAAGAGGTATTTCTTGGAGTTCTAGTGAGAAGCCATGTTATCTGATTGGGTATTCTCGTTTTCAGTTCGTTAATTCTGTTATATGTGGAGTTTATATTTATTAATATATGTAGATTTGGTTTTGTATACGTTTTTGACTCCTCAGTTTCTTCGATTACTAGATGTCCAGTCCATAGAGTTTGCCTACATCATGTTTCGTGTCAGAATAATATTCGAATGGTTTTTAATTTGGAATAAGCATCGGCTATCTCTAAATGGAATATAAAAATACTCTGTTTGGTGTTATTTGTCAACAACAACAACATTAAACTTAATCAACAAATTTTATTATTATTGTATTACTAGATAGTAGGCAGTAGTAATGTCCTATTTGTAACTTATTCCAGTTAGATGTACTTGCTTGCTTCTAATGTTAATGTTTACTTTGAGGTTTTAACTCAATACATATCACTTCAAAAGAATAAGAATAAGGAGTAAGTCACTCAGCTAACGAATTCAGAAATCAATCAATTCGTTGACATATTGAGCAGAATCATCAACGTAAATTTAAATAAAGATCTTATCTGCTTTATATGAACACTGGTCATGCTGTTCATCATCATAATAATAATAATCCAGCACAATCAGACTTCCGAGAATGTTGTAAAGTACTTAAACAAACAACAATAATAACTCACAACTGAATGAAATCCTGGTGTTTCATGACACCATTTACATTGAATTGTCAATGGTTGATATTCTCGACGCCATTCTACAGCTGTTTTCAATTGTTTAAAAGCATCTTCAACAACATAATTTGTTGCCACAAGAAATCGAGTTAATCTAATAATTAGTTGAGGAGAAAGAGAGTAAAAATAAATATCAGGTGTATAAAGTAGATTGTAGTTTTCTTGATTGAAACAATTCAATGGTTCTCATTAAGTAATTGAATTGAGTAAAAAATGTTAGTCCGACAAGAAATTGATTATAACCTGTAATATGTAGATGCTTATATTCTTGATATACCGCTTATCGCTTGAGCACTTGAACTCTAGAACCCTTTCAAGTCGCAATGAGAAGACAGAAGACTAGTGAAAGGAATGTTATTTCAGACAGTGTTAAATTATAGCACGAAACTGTGATTATTATAGCTATCCAATCCGCACACAGGGGGTTATTAGCATCGTCCAATCGGGAAGCTACACGTAGAGATACTAGAATATCCTTCCAAAAGATGATTGGATGGAATATCTTCGGCTCTTTCTGAGCTTCTTAAAGCTTTCTCGAGTTCACTCGTCGACCGTCCTCACATAACACAAAGAGATTAGTGATGGTGTATGTGAGTGTAATGTTAGACGTTAAACGTCAAAATCTCTACAGGAAGAATCCACTAATCATGATACAACCCATATTCAGATCATTAAACAGTAACAGTATTGAGATTCAATATTAGAAAATAATATAAATGTTCTAAATGATTATACAGTTGATCAGGAAAAACGAAGAAAATGCTATGGAGTGCGATTATGTACATTGTTTGGGAATCCTTGTATATCCATCATGCTTGAAATGAAATACTTTGGATTGAATGAATAAGTACGGAAACCAATAGGATGTATAACTGTATAATAACGCATTTTAGTTATTACTTACTTGTGCCTGTCACCCTTCGTGCAAAAGCATAGCCCACCCACCAGTATTCTCCATCTAACTCTGTCCCACACAATCCTTTCCAGCTCCTTCCAGTCAATATTCTTCCTTTTCATATCTACTTCTATTTCCTTATGTAATGTGTTCTTTGGCCTTCCTCTTTTCCGCTTCCCTTCAGAATTCCAAGTTAGGACTTGCCTCGTGATGCAGTTTGATGATTTGCGTATTGTACGTCCAATCCATTTCCATCGTCTTTCCTGATTTCTTCTTTAGCTGGAAGCTGGTTTGTTCTCTCCCATAGAAAGCAGTTGCTGACAGTATCTGGCCAATTGATGTTGAGTATCTTGCGTAGACAACCATTTATGAATACTTGTACTTTCTTGATGGTGGTTTTTGTAGTTCTCCACGTATCAGCTCCGTACAGTCGAACTGTCTCGACGTTCGTATTGAAGATTGTGACTTTGATACTGATTAACATTTGGTTTAAGTTCCATATGTTATTCAATTATAGGAATTTGCCAATCCTCTCTTTTACTTCTGATTCAGATCATCCAGTTTCATCGATGATGCTTCTCAGGTACGTGAAAGGTTCCACATCTTCCAGATCATCTCCATCAAGTGAGACTGAGTTGATGTTCTCCGTTTGTATTTGAGGATGTTACTTTCTTCTTTGTGTATGTTGAAGTTTACTGCTGCTACACTAGTTTTCTTCATCTGCATTTGTTCGTGTGCATGAGATAGAAAAGCTAAGTCATCTAAGGAGTCCAAATATTCTGGTTGATTCCGAGCTGTTCACCGGATTCCGTGCTTCCCCTCACATGTGGAGGAATTCATAATTCAGTCAACCACCATAATAAAGAGAAAGGGTGAGAGTAAGCGCCCTTGTTTGATTCCTGTTCTCACTTGGAATCCACCCATTAGTTGTACTCTCATATTAATTATTAGGTATAGTAAATTGAATTGGATTATTGTTAATATAGGATGTTTCAAGGGATTATTTTATTTGTAGTTGATATCAGTAAATACTTGACTGTTCCCATTGATGTTTAGGACTGCAATTGATCCGTCACTTATTGGCATATGTGCATACTGCATGTATTGCCTCGATATCACCTCAATTTACAAGCATTCTAAACAAAGATGAATAGTGGCTACCATTGGAATCTATCAATGAGAAGATTCAAGTCAACAATACCAAGTGAATATAAATGAACAACAAACACTTACGTATCATCACATGTTGCAAAATCCGGTTCATTCGGTAAAGGAATAATATTCGATTGAGCCAATTGATAAAGTTCTGTAGAGTTTCTGATTGATTGATTACTTATACTGCTACTACGTTCATTAGCGTACTAGAATTTCCCGGAAACCCAAGGACATCTAAAATAATATAGCCCTATATTTTCTGTACATACACGAATATTTGAAGTAAAGTCTTCCTTGCAGATTTCGCGCCTTTTCTCTTGTGTTCAAGTCACTGTGTAGACCTAGCCCATGGGTTACTAGAAGAACTTGGGAAATAAATCTAGCGTTCAATTAACAAGACTTATCATTATTGTTATTCCATTGGAAACTATTCACTACAGCAGATCCATCCGTAGTAGACAATGTCTCATTTATATTTTGTATTTCAAGTTCATTCTACTTGTGAGTAGTACAGTTCTTTTCACTAAATATTATCGAATCGTATGGGATTTTATTTGCTGGTTCAGATATCCGAGTCATCTATTTTTACAGTTGTTCAAACTGGATAATTTTGAATATTAAATCTATGTATTCCTGTGTTATTTTAAAGTAGGTTACTATGGTGAGATTATAATTTATGGACGACCTTTGTGCGACTGTAGACTGATGTTGAGAATGTCCACCTGGTAACTAGGACCAAATGAGGGTTATAAATCAATGTGACGGATTTGAATTATGATTTACAGTTGATGGGTTTTCATCACGAACTGTTATCAGCTATAAAGCCAAGACTCTATTTAGCCAAATGAATGAGTGAATTTTTCACCGAAATCCGAGACCTGTTATCTTATACCTGACTGGTTTGTCCATAAATTATAGTCTCGCCGGTTACTATTTATATTGTAATGCTAAATACTGAAAAACCCATACCGAAACACTACATTTATTATCAGAATGGGTTTTGTGGAGATTTTTAGAAATTTCACAGGTTGAAATCATGAGTCAATTGAAACTAGACCACCATGGAAAACCTGGAAGCACTGGATGGCCGTTTCGCCCCATTGTGGGACTCCTCAGCAGTGCACACCCACGACCCCACCTTACGGCATTTGAACCCAGGACCTATCAGTCTCGCACGCGTGCGCTTAACCACTAGACCACTGAGTTGGCCGGCATCCAACGGTGTTAATGTCTAACTTCAACCAATCCACGTAGTTGCGCCACCGTACATCATTATCTTCAGTGAGCTGATATCTCACAACAGACCTGGTTGGACTCCACTTCTCACTAGAATTCCAGGAGTATCTCCCGAAGTCAGTCACTAGTGAGTAGTTGATGATTATCAGAATGGGTTTTGTGAAGATTTTTAAAATTCCACAGGTTGAAATCATTTATTGATATATATATCTCTCTCTCCATATTTATACTTTGCAGAAATAAGAAGTGATTTTATTGACGCATTAAGTATATCATAGATGAATTAAGTAGTTATTCGAATTGATAAAGAATTTACATCACTGAAGATGAATGAAATATAGTGACAGTTGAAAAAGGATTTGTCAAGTATATATATATATATTTCGAATTATTGCTATTTGGCTGTGGTTTGAAGAGATATTCATTACAGTATTTCATAAATGATATAGAAAATTCCCTATTCTATCAGAACTTAATATACATTGTTAAGATTCTTATTTCTTTTCTTGGAAGATGTCTTCGTTTGATTGATGAAATTTATTTCAAAAAAGAAAATGGTAGGGATAAATGATTAGCCTGATTACATTTGAAAGTATTAAAATATTTAAACTCTAAGGTGATTGTATAATAAACTTAGGAGGATTAAATAAATGAAACACTTGACTTTTCCTATATTGAAAACACTCAAATAAGCTATAGAACGTAATCAAATTATTTAAATAGAGCAAGGACAAAGATTGGTGCAGAATAATACATGAATTCATTTGATTTCGTTAGGTTCTCATCAGCTGCTTACAACCTAAATTATTTGAAATTCAACATTATTACAGATATTGGCATATTGACATACATAAGAGTGTGATGAAGGATCAATACATGTGTATGATGATGTAGCAAGCAAAGATTCAGATAGAGTTAATGAGCTCATAAACTGTTTGATTCGAATAAATAAATAAAGTTAGAGAGGGAAAGTTCTGGAACATTGAAATAGTGATTAGAACTCATGAAAATAGATTAATGGTAATAAAGAAAATATGAATTGAAATCAATCAGTTATGTATGATGTAATTTATATTTTAGAAAGAGTTGCAATAATGACGTAATAAATAAATAAATAAATAGGTGCAAATGAATAGAAAGAGTGGGGGTTATTGTTAATCACCTTGTTTGTTAATCACCTTGAAGGACTTCAGTATATCAACTTTATGTCCTGTATCAAGGAGATGTCTTGCGATAGCACTGTTGAATGCGTTCAATCCATTTAACCTTAAACTTTTCGGAATATGTTCTTTGAATCGGACGTAGGCTCTCCTTTCTGTTCTACCAATGTAACTGCTTTGGCAGGTACATGTAAATTTGTATACACAGTTGGTGGTAACATGAAAGGGATACCTGTCGACCTTTGATTGTGTCAAAGAACATGTTGTTTTGGACAGGACAATCAATTTCGCTGCAGGATAAGTTCTTGTCAGTGCAGTTTTTAGTCTCATATTGATTGATCCTGTGACATCGTCACCTTTGAATTGAAGTTGAATAAAAATAGGCTTTTTATTTGCTGTAATTTCTTTCGGTTTTTTATCTTCACATTTGCCGTATTTCTCAATAAATTTCAGTGGGTATCCGTTATTCTTTAAACATTTTTAACATTCATAACTTCCTCTTCTAGTGTATCGGAAGTACATATTCTTTCTGTTCTGTAAAACAGTGTTTTGACCAGTGCCTTTTTGTAACTGATTGGACAAAAGCTATTGAAATTAAGATAACTACCATTCCATGTGTCTTTCTTATAAACTGAACGTTGAACTGTACCATCTTTTCTTCTTTTCATCGCGATATCGAGAAAATGGAACTTGTTTTCTTTTTCATGTTCCATAGTGAAATGGATATTCGGATGTGCTTCGTTGAAAAACTCTAGCAGATTTATTGCATGTTGTTTATTATTACATACGATGAAGGTATCATCAACATACCTCGAATAATACGTCATTTCATCAATCGCTCGTTTGAGTTTGGTTCTTTCGAGGTTAGTCATGAAAATATCTGCTAGGACAGGACCTAACGGACTTCCCATCGCTACACCATCGGTTTGTTTGTATAAGATATCGAATGAATAAAGGAATGTTTTCTAGTAAACCATTACTAAACCTAAACAGATATTAAATTTCAATCAGTTTTAGTACAATTAGTTAAAAGTAAACGGTCACAAATGGATATGCTTCGGCGATACATCACTCAACCTAGACCTTACCATAAATGGAGAAATGTTATCTAGGTTACATACAGTAGTAACTTAGGACTTCAATACTCTCAAGACTTGTCGTTTACAGAACAGATATTAAAACAGACCTCCAAGTCTCAACGTCTAATAGCTTAAATAACTCGAAAACTTTATAACAATGAGTCACGTATTTTAATGTACAAAGTTTGTGCTCGACCTCTTCAAGAATATTGCACGTGCATAAAAGATAAATTAAGGCTGAAATCAGTACAGAGACGATCTACACTTCGTATTCTTGGAGCTGATTGTACCTTAACTTATAATTCTAGATGTAATAAACTTGGGCTAGACCCTTTATGGAGGAGGAGACCCAAACTAAATCTTATCTTTTTCTTCAAACTACTTAATAAACTATCCTTTACATCCAATCACGTTACTCAATATGCAGAAACTTCTCATTATGACATCCGTAATTCCTTGGCACTAGTGAAACAAACTTACTCTAAATCATCTCTCTATATGAATTACTTTACCTGTAAATTTTCTAGACTCTGGAATAACCTACCACAATCCATCCGTACGATAAATCACTCCCATTATTTGTTCACTGCATCGATGCATACTGCTCCTCTGAAAATGCTTTGAATGTTCTAGCACCTGTAAGTGTATCTCATTCCACAAGTGATATTATAGGAACTTTAAATGTTTAGCCATTTTTATGAGTACATTCCCTAAGTAAAACCACCTACTTGCTGTCACTTTATGTTAACACCGTCCCCAGCAAGTTTAGCTAATTTGAATAGGATCAACAGTATATTACTGAGTCACATAACACATGCATTTTGGTAGACCTGATTGACTTATTTTGTTAATTATTGCTTTGTTGTTCCGTGCTCTCTGTTTTCATCTTACTTTCTCTAGTTGTAGATAATTATGATTAATTCGATTTGGCACAGGAAATGACCTCAGCTAATTACACCGTTCATAAATCATCAGGCTGTTCATTTAAGAATAATTAAAAGTTCCCGGCTGATACATTAGATCTCTGTACTATATGTACTACCTAAACAATTACTGAACTAGTAAACTAGTGAACTTTCTTCGATCACATGTTTGTTCTGTACATCTAATGTTCCTCTTTATATCAAATTGATCATGCCTGTAAACTGGCATGAATTCTGTAATTATTATTATTCATTGCCTATTTTGTATATTTAAAGATTAAATTGTATTCTTCATAGGTTAGAAACAATGCAAAAAAAATCAATATTACTTTCATGGTAGGCATACTGTAAAGTGTCATATCAAATTATTCTAGTTGTAAATAATTTCTTTCATGTATTTAATCGAAATTACATTGACAATGTTTGTACATTGTACATTGAATTTATATAACTGTAAAGTCATTATGATTCATAATTAGATCAATTTATACTCTATAAACTCTATCAGTTTTTTGTAGATTTTGTGTTTATACTAATTTCTTCATGAATTAATATGAAAGGTTTAAGTAGATTTATAGCGGATAAGTCTACCTAGATAATAAAGGATAGTTAATAGATAAGTCAGATAGCTAGAAATTTAATTGAAACTCTAGAATTTCATTCTATAGATAAGTTCTTAGGTGTATTGATTGAGGTTAAATAGTAGCAGTATTGAGTGCCGGCCGGTTCAGTGGTATGGGGGTTAAGCGTTCGCGTGCGACACCGATAGGTCCTGGGTTGGAATCTCGTGACGGGCGGGATCATGGATGAGCACTGTTGAGAAGTCTCATACTAGGACGAAATGGCCTTCCAGTGTTTCCAGTTTGTTCATAGCGGTCTAGCTTTAATTGACTCATGAATTCAACTATTAAATTAGAATTAACTGTTGAAATGCCAACTGAGATTTCTTAATATTAATGTAAATTAAAACTTGTTTAAATTAGTATTTCTGTTTTTGAAGATTCAATCCATTTAAGTAGTATTGCGATAAAAGCAGTAATAATCTTTCGCATGTAAGTATACCAATTGTTAAGGAGTTATTTTTACTATAAAAGACTCACTACATACATAAGTGACTGCTATTAGACTCATTAAACCATCTGTGACCACTGAATATTGCTGCGTATCAATTTTTCGTACCCTTAATCCGTCTTACATATTACATATAAATGAGTCGCTTTTTCGTTAGTAAATTAGCACTTGGAAACTCTCTGTTGATGCAGAATATGTTCTAATCTTTTCGAAATTGATTAAGTTTAAATTATAATTTCAGTAATCATTTTATTATCTCCAAGAAGAGGAACCTTTTCAATTCAAGATGGTTATCATTTGACAAGAAATTATCGGATACAAGAGATCATAGATATTCGCTGAATAACTTGATCATATATATAAAACTTACATCTCGTGATTTAAGTCCAGATGTAGGAACTGGTGGCCAACGATAACTGGACATGATTAATCAATAAATGCGTTTAGATCACAATAGGATATCCTATAGATTTACTCATTTATTGCTTCATCCATCTGTTTTTTTCGATTTTCATAAATAGTTTAATAGTAATTATCTTTTAAAGAAACACATTGCATGGAGCATTAAATGACGTTTTACAATGGTTATCAATAATTGAAACCTTTTTTTCTTTATGTTCCTGGTGTTTATGTATGTATGTATGTGTGTGTGTGTGTGTTAGTGTACTGAATAGAATTTTGTTCTTGATTATGGAAATACTATTATCGTGTATTGATAAGTTGTTACTACTAAATTTTATCATTTTAACAGTAGTATGTAATAAACAGTCATAATTGTGCAAAACACTTTTATGATTATTAAACGCTGTAGGTGAAAAACAGACGATATTTTCTTGTTCGAAGTGTTCGATATGAATTATTTACAATAGAAAAGTTACATATAATCCATAAACAGGGCATTTTCTTTACAATGAATTTAGTTAAACGTAGATTATTATTATTATTGTTGTTGTTGTTGTTAACTTCAATGGGAAAATCTGTGAATTAGTATTTAAGGGGGGGCAGGAGGGTCCAAGTTTATTTTCATTAAAATAATTTTATCAGTTGATACGAAATACCGTTTTTTCCAGAAAATATTTTTTTATCTTTTAATGTTACGTTTTAATGTTAAAAGTTAAAAAAACAACCTGAAAACTCTCTTGACAATAAGAGAGAATAGTCTTTTGTTAGGGTTATTGTAAATCAGTAATGAAATGAATAATTCTTTATAATCACTTAAAACTTAAGTTTGATTCAGCTAACTAACTAGCTAACAAGTAGTTATACCTAGTGTGTATGCTTGTATGACAGTGTTTATTCATCAGCTTTATATGGTTTCTTATTTTGTTCGGTTTATTATTGACTCTATATTTTCCTATTCTACACTTTTAGGCACATATAGTTGATTGAAATAATATCGAATAAAATTGTGCATTTCCTTTGTAAAGGTAAACGGAAATAATACTAGTAAAGACTACATATTCATATGTGTTCATTTGTTAACTATATGTAGACAAACATCGGCGTAACTAAGCACATATACATAGATATACAATTATCTACACTTCAAAACTAATTCAAAAAGAAAGAAAAATTAGTTTTGTTATTTTGTTATTTTGAAGAGTATTTGTTTAACCATATTCAATGTTAAGTAACTTAACGTTAAAAACTTATCTCAAAGAATGATTGTAAACCATTTGGATTTTTCTCGACTATATAAATTTAATATAAATAAATACAAACGATAACATACAACATATGGTTCAACTTATCAAACTTAATTCATACATACCAAAATATGAAACTGTGGAATCTTTCTTAAAATGTCATTGTGTCAAAGGTGAACACACCTAATTTAAAGGTCTATTTTTGAAAATAATAAATTTATAATCCATGATTTTGGTAAAGCTGTGCTAATGATGAATGTGCAAATCGTTTCAAGGTCATGGCTCATACATCGAAACAGCCTATCGTCTGTGGATGTTAAGAGAGAGAATCTTCACGAGGGATTGTTCCCCGCCGACTGTATTATGAATATTACTTGTGGATGATCTTGATGGATTCCAAAATTGACATGTCAAGATTGAAATCACTTTTAGGTTATATAATGGGGCTAAGGTTTTCTTCATGAACTAAAACCAGCTAACAGGTAAAAATATTTTATAGCCATATGCGTCATAGCTTATATGAATTCATGATGAAAGCCCTAACAATGAATACTAATCTTAAATCTTAATCCTAACACAACAAACTTTTCTCTCATATTTGCTGTTAATCTGATAGGCTGGACAGGTCAAGATTTCGTTATAATTGCCTAGATAGTCGCTCAAGCTTTACGTTATGGTTTGGCTTTAACATGAATTTGTTAATGCAAAAATAAAGACAGTAATTAAAGAATTGAGTTCAAACTTGTTTGGATATGATCGATACAGTTAGCTACTTGAGTTGACGCTTTTACTTTTAGTTAACATTTTTATACGATTTGCTGCAATATAAATGGCATTCCTATTGATAATTATGTAGTTATGATCAAATAATAGAGAGATTTTTATGTGCACTGAAAACGTTTAACCCGTCATCGAATAGTAACGAACGCCATGTAATTTAAGGCTTACTAAACATTGAATTATGTCAGTTATGTTTACAGTATGACTAACAAACTCATCAACCTAACTTCATGGTAAGATATCACGAGATGATTGTCACAAATCCATGGAATCATATTTCGCGCTGGTTTGCATTTATGAACGAAGATTTTGTGTAACCCTAAGTAAAGTGAGGATTGAATCTGAAACAAGCAATGCTTTAGGTAGTGTAACTATCATACTGATTGATCGGTAAACAGTAACCAATGTGAGTTTTGTAATATTAACTACAAAATCATTCGAAAATAAGCTACCAGAGCAGTGTAATCAGTCTTCGACTGAATTTACTCAATAAATTACTTGAAATAAACCTAGAAGATTTTAAAATCTATCGGCTTAATTTCATTAGTTTGGTGTATTTTGTATATTGATATGGTTACTTTTTTGCTTGGTATTTCTACCGTTAAAACTACCAATTCAATAAGAAAGCTTTCACAGTCTTTTTATCACTTCTCATCAGTGTACTTTTCTCTGATCGCATATTGTTCTCAGTAGATTTACAGCAGTTCTCCAACTAATATTGGCCAATGCTAAAATTATCTTTTTATCACATCATTTTGAAAATACGTTTAAACATGATAGTTGTTGATGGATTGTTGATAGTAAAAGACAATAGTATTATGTTAATTCTGTTGTAACTAGACAAGTATAATGGAAAGGTTGAACTTTCGTTTGTATTCTTTTTTGTTCATATATATTGAATACCTGAATTACTGTAATTTTGTATTCTCCTAGTTCTAAGCTTATTCGTGATGGACAAATTATTGTCATGTGTTGGACATTTCTTAAATTTTCGTTAATTTATTATGAACCTATTATTCAGTACTTTTTCTTGTGTTTCATAGTATACCCATATTGTAACTTCTTGATTAGATTGTTTACTGTACTCCGCATTATTGTAAGAGTTTTTAATTCGTGATTGAATTATTAATCATATCGGCTGTTTGTTGACTTGTCTTTTAGGCCTAAGGATAGCGAATAAATAGTAGCTGGGCTTATATCAGCTTAAGGTTGATGCTACAAGGCAAATATGTAACTGGTCAAGTTTGGAAAACTAGGCTATAAAATAGTAGTAGACGCGGAATGGAAAAAAATCACATTTGGAATTCTAACTGGTGACTTTGTAGTGTGAGTTGCTATGTTAAGCCCATATACCTTATTCTAACTTCTAGACTGGCCAATTTATCCATTCTTCCTGAGTCACATTGTGACCTCGTCAATTATTCACTCATCAACCCTGATTGTTTTTATATGAGCATGTGTGTGTATATCGTATCCTACTCATCACATGTCGGTGGATTATTTTTGTATGACAGGAAATAATGATTAACGCTTGATTAAATGTAGTTGGCTGAGACGCCTTCTCCACTGCGCGTCATTTCGCTTCGCGCTCTTCTCTTTGCTTCTCCAATCTGCTTCACTCTTCCTTCTTTGTTTCCTCTACTTCACTGCCTGTTCAAATCAATGAGTGCATAAAATATACATATTCAAAATTGATTCTCGTATTTGGCTTATTTAATTCCGTTGTTCACTAACGTAATTTAAGTCCATAATTGTATACGAGGATAGCCTATCTATATATTTCAATAACATTCATACGATCCAATTGAAGTCAGACATCAGAACACTAAAGTGGTGAATCCATAGATAATATTGTCCGATCTAAATGACGTCAAAATGAAGGGTCCCACTAAAACTTAAGCATTTGATACTGATGAACCTAATCAAGGAATAACAACTTCCAAATTATTACTTCTGTATGGTTTATTCAACCTTACGTTTAATTGTCTGTATTTATCATCATAAAAGCAAACAATAAACTAATTTAAAATGACTTACAATCAAAATTTGTTTATCATAAAGATGCAATTTGTGTATAATTGTAATGTGAAATGCCAGAATATAATATAACTAGCTAAGAATAAAATTTGTTTCCAAATGAAATTAATAATTGTAAGTATATGGATGTGAAGATTATTGAGTTTCATTGAATGAATAACTTCTCTAATTGATATATTCATTTAAATATTCTTCAATCATCTGTCAGTGTTTAGATTTTGAAAAGAGCAAGAACAAAGATTCTAGCAGAATAGCATGAATTCATTTTATTTCGTCTGATTCTCATCAGCTGCTTACAATCTGTGATATTTAAAATTATAATGACATAATGGGTTTAAATTACTTACATGAAAGAGTTTATTTGGAAGTTATATTGAAGACATATTCGTATAGTATAGCTAGAATGTAAATAAAACTAATAGATTGAATATTATCAATATATACCTTATGTGAAAGAACATTCTACAACATTGATTGTTATCAGAAGGGGTTTTGTGGAGATTTTAGAAATCTCAGTAGTTGAAATTATGAGCTAGAGCAACATGGGAAACCTGAAGCATTGGGCGGTCGTTTCGTCATAGTATGAGGCTTCTCAGCAGTGCGCATCCACGATCCATCCACCCGCGAGATTCGAACCCAGGACCTATCGACCACTGAGTCGACCGGAATCCAACGATATAAATGTCTAACTTCAACTAACCCACGAAATGGAGTGACACATCCACCATTGTCTTCAGTGAGTTACTACGTCACAACAGACCTGGCTGAACTCCACTGGTCACTGCTTCTCACTAGAACTCCAGGAAATGCCTCTTGAAGTCAGTCATTAATGAGCAGATGATTATCATCAAAAGGGTTTTTGGATATTTTTGAAATTTCTATAGTTGAATTCGTGAGACTGATAGGCCTGGGTTCGAATCTCGCGAAGCAGGATCGTGGATGAGCACTGTTGAGGAGTCCC